TTTTTTTTGCTTTCCTGGCAATATGATTTTATTCTTGTTTTCATGTTAACGTTTTTGTTGGAAGTTTTAATGTAACATCTCTTGAATTAATTGCGAAAACAAAATTAAAAAAATTGAATGAATCCACGTTGTTACGTAATCTTTGGGAGACCCCCTACTCTCCCTAGAATAATCAAGCGTAATAATTTCCCAACCAAAAAGTTGCTTACCTACTACTTGAATGACCTAATACAACGAATACCATTTATAATGGACCAAAAAAAAAGGTTGAAAATACCTAAAAATATTAATTTTCCGTTATTTTATGATGAAAATTGGTCATGTACAAAATGTCAAGAAAGTTATATTCATAAAGATATTGTAGCGTGGTTAGAAATAAACACAGACATTAAGACATGGTTCAGTCGACAACTTCGAATTAGTGGTAAAACAGATTTAACTTATTTGTATAAGACAATTATTCCACATTCATTAACATATATTAATCATGACAATGCATTTATTACAATTGAACGTTTATTTTTACTCTTTTGTAATCAGCAAATTAGAACAGATGATTTAACAGAATTGAAAAAATTAAAATTAATTACGACAACAGGATCATTAGTGTCAGCAGAAAATTGTTATTTTTCTGATATATATAATCCTGCTTTGAGATTAGAACGTCAATTATGTGATGTTATTGATATATTTTTATCTCCTCGTTATATATTGTCAAATGATAATCGAAACACAGATCAATGGAAATATTTTTTTATACATATGGGTGTTAAAGAAAACATTAATGTAATAGAGATGACAGATGGAACAGAACCATATCTTGATTCTTATTTAACTGATCAAAATCGAGTGATTCCTCATCTGAACAATCGTCAAGTTCAAGCATATACGGGCTTAGTGACAATTAGTTTTCTACAACAAACGATTAATTATGATTTTTCATTATATTTTTGGTATTATTTAATTCAATATTATCCTGTAGAAGCTCTTAATCCACAAACGCGAGATATTGGGGTGCTTCACACATGGCCGGTAGTAGAGAAGGTTCAGTTATACATAATTATCCTCAATGGTTTGTTCGAAATATTAAATGTATACCTACAACTACTGGTAAATGTGAAAAGTCAACAGATACATTCTTTTTTTATCATCGGAATGATTTATGTCAATTAGCTGGGAAATATCTGCCAATTTTTGCCATTGATAGTAATATATGAGACCGTTCACAATTGCCGCCACTCTACAGTGAGCATAGGGGAGGGTGTTTGAAACAGAGACCGACACAGGTTCAAATTTTCATTTTTTTTTCTGTAGGCATTTGTAATCATGCTAAAGAACGGGTATGGCATGAGAAACGTCACCCTTCAGTAAGTTTGAAGCGTGAACTGAAATTCATAGATCTTGTATTTTACGGGTTTCAACAATGCTCTTTCACTCAGTGGCGGATCCAGTCTGCGAGCGGTACCTTTCTCTTATGAGCGATCTTGCTTGGCGAAATAACTTCTGAATGTATATTTCTTAAAATTTGTTTTCAGGTGCGAAAGAATTCTCACAAAAAAAAAGTCAATTTAATACTACCGTAAAAGGTTTGTTTAAAAACCGCTCGCACTGCTGAAAATTTCTGGATCCGTCACTGCTTTCACATAGTCGTATAAAAAATAAGTGACATTCCGATCTCTACATTAGAATTTACAAACAAAATAACCTCATGATCACGATACAAGTCACACTTGATGCATTTACTTACCTTTTTTTGTTCTTCTTCCGTTTGAGTTATATATCCCATATGTCATCTACACACACCTATGTATATCGTTCTTCTTCTTCCTCTATTAGTGCCGGACAGAAAAAAAGAAAACCGAAATGTTGACAGAATTCTCAATTGCTATATAACTTTTTGCTAATAGTAATAATTTTATATGAGAAAAACCAAAATACTGTACTTCAGCTATGTAAAGTAATTATTCAGATTAAATAAGATGTAATATTCGGTTATGTTTTTAAATCTTTTTAAGAATTTTGATCTGATTCGATCCGAGTCGATCTTTGATTTCAAAAACAATAACGGGAATAACGGAATGATTAATTTTGGTATCTATTGATATCTGTAAAACAATTCTTTTACAGTAATGAGTATAAAAAATTTAATTTACACATTTACATTTATTTTAAAGAACGAGAGAAGCTCAGCGAATAAGGTCATTTTTCCACCCTAAATATTTTACAACAAAATCATTGAATTATGAATTATTGGACATGGTGAACAGAATGGCGCATTAAGTTTTCCGATATTCTAACTATGGATTTTCTGAGTCTGGAGTGCCCTTAGGGAGATTTTGAAATTTTTTTCTAGGTTTTTCTAAAAGCATATGTAATAGATGCAGTGTTTCAGGCTGGTTCCGAATGATTTTTGAACGTATTTAGAACTGTCCGCAGATCTCTCTATGTCACTGGAAAAGCTTAAACAAGGTCAAAATGGGAAAACCTTTACGTATTAACTCTGCTCCGTTTAGAAACTTTTTTAGAAGTAAGGAAAACGTGTTATGACAGATGATTTTCGGAAAAGCAGGTTTTATAAAAGTTTTTTCGTTTAAACCAAAAGTTCTCTTCAAAAGAGGACGTCGTCGAGCTCCGTAAGACTTTTCATTACTTAGGTATCTTTACTTAAATTTTCCATAGGATTTTGGTGTGCAGCTAAATGGATGGAAAACACCGAAAATATTGTACAATTCATATTTCATGAAGGAAAGTCCTGTGAATCTCAGTGACGTCTTCTTTTGAAGAGAATTTTTACTCAATCTTTTGATTTGAGCCAAAAAGTCTTAGTAAACTTGTTTTTCAGAAAATCGTCGGTGATAACACGTTTTTCTTACTTCGAAAAAAGGTCACCTTCTTTTCCTTTAAGACTAATGCCATCCGATAGAGCATAGAAAATAGCCTATATCGTATAAACTTCGTATTGTAACCGCTTTTTGTTCAAGTATAATACAGAAAGCAGCACAGCTAATACATGAAGATTTTCCCATTTTAATCTTTAATTAAGCTTTTCCGGTAACATCAAGAGATCTGTGGACAATTCTAAATACATTGTTTGATAACTCAAGCCATTCTGAGTATCAATAATGATTTTAAATGTTAAAAATAGTTTCTGTCGTGTTGACAGCATTTTGTCCAGTGATAACGGTGAAACGTTTTTGCACAGTAAAATCTATTTTTTATACTGCAATACACTGGAAATTTTTTTCCAATGACGTTGCCTAAAGTGAGAAATAAAAATGACAGAGAGGATGAAAAAAATGGAAACATTGGATGATATCATTTGTAAACAGACACAGGGATCATTCAACTATTACGTAATGAAGTTTTCAATCATTTTGATCTTCCTCCCTCCCTAGGATAAGCAAGCGTAATCATTGGTCGACCCGCTCCCCCCTTATTATGTAAGCGTTGCAACAAAGGTCCGGGGTGAGTCAAATTTGACTGTGTTCTAAAGCCAAGTAATCGGGTATATTCATAATGAGAAAAATGCCGATTAGAGATCAGTGAAACCAGTTTAGTTTTCGGACATGAAACGAACTTTTGGGATATTAACCGGCCGAGGTTGGGGTCGCGATCCAGACCACATCTGAAAGCTGTTATTACCAAAAAAAAGCAAATTTTTTGCTTGTTTCAGATTTCCAACATAAGCATGCTCCTGGTGTGCATATTCCGCATAACGCGAGATTGGCGGGATCAGTACCGCTCTCGAAATACTAGAGTGGGAGCCAATCTTTGGCATATGACTGAGACCGGGACCAGAACCCAAAAAAGCACTTTGCAAATCTTCAGTACAGATAGGTTATGGACGCACAGCTGTATTCTACGTCAGCTGAGAATCTTTTAAAATTTTTAAAGGATTCTCCCCTCTCTCTAGGTTAGCCATCATCAGACATAACCCCAAACTAGAGATCTGCACGGGTACCGTTTTCGTACCCATATTCGATCCCCAAAACGTTTTTTCACCCGTACCCGATCCGACCCTAGAACTTTGTACTCGTACTCAACTTATACCTAAAAATTTTCTTCTTTGCATTTTCCAGCTAAAAAGTTTTGTTTTTCGACTGGAAATGACAATTTATCACTATGTTCTGAAGTAACTGTTTTTTAAAACTACATGTATTTTACCTAAAATCTTGTATTTTTCCACTAAATTTTGTGATTTTCCACTGAAACCTTCCGGTTTTCGGATGAATAAAAAAAAAACGAAACCCGTAGCCCTAATTACTCTACCCGTATCCGACTCGTACCCGTACCCAACCTTCGGGTCGGTACGGGTACGCGTCTGGTTGCACATCCCAAAGCCAAACAGACAATCGAATCGTAACACTCTACATCAAGCTCAAGTCGAGGTTCCTCTTTCTCGAACTCAGACTATCCTCAGCAGTTTTTTCTACAAAACTGCTCGTGAGTGGAATACAACCCTACCTGAGGCTGTAGTCAGTTCTCTCATCATTAAAGACTTCAAAACTCGCTTGCGCCAACACCTGTAAATATGATTGCGGTAGTGTAAAGGCGGCAAAAGTCTTTTAGGCGCTAAGCACTTTTTTTTGCTTTCCTGGCAATATGATTTTATTCTTGTTTTCATGTTAACGTTTTTGTTGGAAGTTTTAATGTAACATCTCTTGAATTAATTGCGAAAACAAAATTAAAAAAATTGAATGAATCCAC